TTTTATGACCTCCCTAGATAATTTTAATACGCAGCAGCCACTATTTTTCCTGTCTTTCTCTCTTCTTTCTCTCATCTCCTCTACTATCTCCCCCCTCCATCCTTTTGTGTTAATTTTATTTTCCTGAAAAATGAAAGGAATAGCTCACAGAGCTGTTAAAAAAATGCCATCAATTGCACTGTTCATCATTATTTAATGTATCACTAAGAAAGACAAAATACTAGCATTAAACTTTGACAAGCCAATGATTTTAAGATATACCTCAATTTCAGAAATGTTAAAAGTGAAAAATGTTAATATGAGACTTCTCCATCTCTAATCTATAATTACTCTACTCCACATATGTTCCCTTGAGCTGCCATCTACTATTCTCTCCCTTCAGGACCCTTCTCTCTTCTGCACCATCTCATCACTAAAGACAGAAAGGAACAGTGGAGGGGCAGAGCATTTGGGAGCAAAGACCCTCTTTGTTCACAGATTTCATACAATTCTACCTTTACATGAGTTTTAAAAATCATGTCATTTGGGCTGGGGATGTGGCTCAAGCGGTAGCACGCTTGCCTGGCATGTGTGCTGCCTGGGTTCGATTCTCAGCACCACATACAAACAAAGATGTTGTGTCTGCCGAAAACTAGAAAATAAATATTAAAAAGTTCTCTCTCTCTCTCTTTCTTAAAAAAAAAATCATGTCATTCATTTATAGGTCATAGGTATATTAATGTAAATAAAATATTTTCTTCCCAAAGAGAGGATAAAATTCCATTTTGGCAAATAGCACTATAAAAATGAGTTCTATACAATGTTATAATTTCAGTATTGGTTGATTTAATAGCTCAATAAAGTGCTTTTGCTCATCTGGTTACAATAAAATTTTCAGGTCAATAATAACGTATATGGCTACACTTCAAAATAAAAGCTTCATTTAAAAAAGCATAAAATATGCCTTCTGCTTAGAAAATTATAAAACATAGGCTTTCCTGAAAGATTAACCTTCCAAGGTATACTCAAAATATGGATTAATATGATTTAATAAACTGTTGTCAAGATTACTTCTGCAGTTAAAAGCAAAGAAATGTGGAATGGAATTTTACCTGAACTTCTTAGCTAGTCTGTCATTTTTATTTGCACTTTTTTGATACACAGTACTGTTTTCTTTCCTCAAATGAGGCTAAAAAATTCACCAATGTAGCCAAGTTTCCTGGGCTTCTATGAAGACTTGGTTCAACACTGCAAAACACTTATATGTGTACTCACTTGACTGGAATGACACATTCACATGATCTTTTGGTCAGAGGTTGTGTCCAATGAGTCCTAGGAAGGTTCAAGCATTCTTGCATAGTTCCTGAGGTGCTGTGGTCAGTTATATACGGTGGCTGACATTGTACTTGTCTTAGTGTGATTCCAGTCCCAGAAAATATTAATGCAGATGAACTTTATATTACAAAATGAAACTAAGTATTGACAAATAGAAATAGATTAGTTTTGAAAAATCCTCAATTCTTGAATTGTTAATATATAATACAGTGTCATTTATTTTTTAGCACACAAAGAGGCTAACAAAATATTCACAGAAATTATCACCTTGTTTCTCACATCTAATGCCTTTAACAGGAGGCTATGAAGAAACAAGCCATATTTCAAAAAAAAAAAAAGAAACTCATAGGAAGGTAAAGCACAAGTCAACAAACTGGAAAAATGTGGGGAAGTCCTAGACAGAAACATAGTGCCAGATTTAAGCAGAAACTGATAACTGCTTCTCTAGCTATAGGTAGTTTTATTCTTTCTATGTAAGAGGAACCAATCCTTTCAAAAGACAGGCATACAAACTATAGGTGACAAAACCAAAAAGATTTGGTAGAGGTGTTCTTATCAAAGGCAGCTCCTAGGACATGCCTTTTCCTTGAAAAGCAGTGACTGAGTGCAGAGGAGTGATCTGTTCAGTCTAAGGGAACTGTCCAACTTTGTCTCTTCCAACCAAAAGACACATCTTCCTGTTAAGGTTCTACTTCCTTCCATAGCTCAGGAATATTTCTGGAATAAAAATGGAGGAAGCACATTATTATGATGATGTCCTATATCGATAATGATGATGGCAAGGACCTTGTTTCCCCATTAGAAGTTGGCAGGAAAGATGGGAATTATTTTCATTATCCTGGAATAAACTGTGCCTAATGCAGACAATAAGAGATGTTATCTCATAGTAGAGAGTATTGCTGGAATTTGGTTAGGGCATTTGGCCCAATTGACTTCAGGAGAGGCTCATCATACCAAGGGTTTCTTTAAATTGTCAAAGGTGGCTAAAGGGCCATTTTGTGTACCATTACAGTTATCTAAATTAGAGGCATCTCACTCTTATAAAGAACTAAGGTTCTATCTTTCAAAATTTTCTATCTTTCCACCTGCAAAGGCAGATGAAATCCTTAAATCTCGTTATCAAATGTACCTAGGCATGCTACCCTTGAAGTGTGGTTAAGCCTTTCTGATAAAATGATTAATTACAGTTTGTATCTGCAGCAAGGCAGAGAAATATAGTCACATAAATAAGGAATGTTTCCCTTGGTGTAGGTACAGAAACACCATTTTCTAGATTTAGGGATATGTGAACCTCCTCAACACTACCTACAATAACTATCCCCATACCAAGTGGACAGACTTACGACAGACTTACAACTGGCCCTCTCTAAAGGAGCACATGTACAACAACAAGCAGCAATGATCAATAAATCTCTATGATGGAGGTAATGTGGATAAGATGGGGCCTAATGGGGCAAAGACTACAGAAAAGAAAAGTATCATGATTCACAGCAGCTTCTAGTGAGGCACTAATATCAGGCTTCAGTTAAGACTACTGCTGTCAAGCTATAGGTGGCAGGCAGGTTTGCAAAAGTCAAGTAGATAAGATTGAAGTGAGGAGTGAGGAAAAGAGATCAAGGGTAACAGGCACATGATGGGGTGGATCAGCATCTATCAAGGCAAGCCTGGAGAAGTGAATTAGTGACTCTGAAAATTTGGCAGCAGAAACCAGAAGTGAGTTAGCAAGTGTAAGGAATGATGACTGAAGAGGACCACAATCCCACACCCAGCAGTCCTGCCTCACCTCCTACCTCCTTGCTCCCGTGGAAGCCCATCCTCTAGCAGAAAGAGTGTCAACTTCCCCAGAGTCTCATACCTGTCTGTAGACAGGTCAAACAGAGTATAAAGAAGCAATGCAGCATTACATAGGATATAAACACATTATTTTATTTAACATATGAGAAAATTCTAGCACCGTCTCCATCACTATACTACAGTCATGCTGTATTGATCCTAGTGTCCCATAAAATTCATAAATGAAACTGTTATATTTTTGTTAATTCTACTATTATATTATGCTACTTGTATGTAGTGACCATCTGTAATGGTAACATAAGAATCCATGCCACATTTCCAATCTGTGTCCCTCCTCCAAATCTATTAAGTATTTCTGAAAAAGTTTTACATATATAAAATATCTGATTCTGAAACAGCAAAATCAACACAGACATGAGACTGTCAGAATACAAGAGCAAACTCTTATTAAAATGCTGTAAGACTGAGAGGAAACATTAGACTAAGTGTTGGCTTTGCCATTAACAAGTTGTAAAGTCAAGATAAAACACTAAAATTGTCTGGAATGCAATTTTAACTTTCATAAAATGAGACAGTCGAATTTCATCATTTCTAAGCAAAAATTCAGCTCTGAAAATATGCCTCAGTTTTCAAGTCCAAATTCAATGGGCTTTTAATAATCTCAATGATACACACAGTTAAGAATATTATCTTTTATATCTGAAGGAAATCTAACACTGTTGAGAGAAAATAAAAGGTGGACATTTTTAAAGGAATCTAATACTTCTAACAACATACAGCTGAATAATTTTAAAATACCTTTAGTGCAATAGAAACATAAATCAATTTAATTTAAATTTAAAGTCTAACTCTAAAAACAATGTAATTCTTCAGAATAATTTAGTAGACAGGTAGGTCAAATAATAGTACACTGGGGACAGGGTTCACATTTCTCACCACTATGCCTTTAAATTTTAGAAGTTAAAGCTTGATAACATAAAATGCTTTGGAAGGCAAGTTATAGAGGAAGCGGGGACATCACAGTCACACAGTTCTTTGACCTTTTGTGAAATAAACCAACAAATAACAAACAAACTTGCCTATGACATTACTCTGTAGTAGATATTCTGAATCTTCATTTTTCTCCTACTTCCCCAGCACACATGCACACATACCGCATACACACAGTGCCGTATTTTCTACAGTAGTCTTTGTTCAGCACTCAAGCAGGTTTAGGGTGAAACAAGCTCATATATATTTCACAGGAAATCATAACCAAAAAAAACAAAACAAAACAAAAAAAAACCACGTGAAAGAGTACTACAATGCCTATTTTATTTTTCCTTTAAGGTAAATAATAATAATAATAATAATAATAATAATAATAATAATAAATTATTTTGTTAAAATGTGTTATGAAAATTTATTCCCACTTAACCAAGAACCTCAAATCAGAGTCACATGCAAATCCAAACAAATTCAAGTATGATGCCACAAACAACAGGTTTAAATATCCTTACTTGGATCTCAAAAATGATGACTGCACTACTGTGAAATATGTGACTTTTTATAGGAGAGAAAATTCTATACACCTAGGCCCTTTCAGCTTAGTTTCCTACTTATGATTTACTTTTAAAATGACATTAAGAAACATTTGCTATTTACAAAAAAAAAAAAATGACAGCATTATTCAATATTAAGCCTGACTGGCTGAGAAATAATTTAAACATTTTGAAATGATAGAAATTCACATTTTTGTAGAATTAAAAACATGTAACTGTTAAACTGGTAAGAGGAAAATCTATTTATTCTGAGTAATTCTTAGTACTTCAAAGAATATACATAAAAACCCTTCACAACAATTCCCTGCCCTGATACGGTTAAATGCAAATTCTCTTTTCCATCTTACTCCAGAAAGCTCCTGCATACATAGCCGACACGCCACCTACTGCAAAACCGAGCTGACAGCACAGGCGATGCTGCCAGCATTTCCATTCCATCGCCAGGCTGGGACTGAATAAAGGCGTGTTTGTGTGGTAGTGTTTCTGTTTTAAAAGCCTCAAGCCAAGAAGAACAAGCTAAAATAGCATCTTCAGAAATGGAGCGTAAAATAATCAGAAGAGAAAAAGAAAAGGAATATGAAGGGAAACACAACAGCCTGGAAGACACTGACCAAGGAAAGAACTGCAAATCTACACTGATGACTCTCAACGTTGGTGGATATTTATACATTACTCAAAAACAGACACTGACCAAGTACCCAGACACTTTCCTTGAAGGTATAGTAAATGGAAAAATCCTTTGTCCATTTGATGCTGATGGCCATTATTTCATAGACAGGGATGGACTCCTCTTCAGGCATGTCCTAAACTTCCTACGAAATGGAGAACTTCTGTTGCCAGAAGGGTTTCGAGAAAATCAACTTCTCGCACAAGAAGCAGAATTCTTTCAGCTCAAGGGACTGGCGGAGGAAGTGAAATCCAGGTGGGAAAAAGAACAGCTAACACCCAGAGAAACCACTTTCTTGGAAATAACAGATAACCATGATCGTTCACAAGGACTGAGGATCTTCTGTAATGCTCCTGATTTCATATCAAAAATTAAATCTCGAATTGTTCTGGTGTCTAAAAGCAGGCTGGATGGATTTCCAGAGGAGTTTTCAATATCATCAAATATCATTCAATTTAAATACTTCATAAAGTCTGAAAATGGCACTCGACTGGTACTAAAGGAAGACAACACCTTTGTCTGTACCTTGGAAACTCTGAAGTTTGAGGCTATAATGATGGCGTTAAAGTGTGGTTTTAGACTGCTGACCAGCCTGGATTGTTCCAAAGGGTCAATTGTTCACAGCGATGCACTTCATTTTATCAAGTAATTACCTGTCTTATGAACAAAGACAACAAGCATGCAGCCAGCAAGCAACGGAAAACCACAGCATCAAAGGCATCCCAAATAGCGTGCCCAGCTAGCTCTGTACTACAGAGCCCTGCTGCTAATCAAGTACTGTGAGCTAATGGTATGTAAATTCTATCGCTAAAGATGTTCTTCTCTGGGGTGTTCCTGCAGATTGGACTCTTCCACCTAAAATGAAAACAGTAATCTTCTATATTCTATAAATAAAGACTGAATGCTTTTTGCTATTTGTTTATTTTTCCTTAAGCTGTCTTTTAATCAGAATGTCTTGGGTACTTGCACAAAAAACAAGCATGTACAATATCTGTAGTGCATTTCAATAAATGGTAATAAAATATTTTAAGGGGCTTTAAGGTTTAAAATCCTTTCTACTTATGGCAGAAATTTACAAAGAAACTGAACAGGTAAAATTACCAGTGAAAGCAAAACAGATGTGCAGATCTACCTAGAGTAGAGCTATAGTGAAACAAAATGAGAATGTATAAAGCTGTTAAAGCTATTGATTTGATTTTTAATAGCAGGCACCAAAAGCTTATTTACAATTTCTGTATCTCACGCTGGAATTATAGCTTAATTGATAATTTGCTGAGAATTCCTAGAAAACTGCTTGATGACAATAAAAAATAAATAAAAGCACTGCTAGCTTCTTTGCTTGTATTATAATGATAAAAAAGTTACATATGTCACTTTCAAAACAAGTAGTACACTTGATGATTTCACACATTATTATTTATGCACTGATGTAATTGACCAGAAGGCTATAGTAACCCTGGCTGGTCTTATGAGTAACAAAAATAAGCAAATTCATTTCTTTGCACAATGAGCTTCAATACAGCATGAATAATATTTTCAATGGAGTGCATGGTATTAGAATAATAAAAAAGACCATTTTCACAATCACCTAAATATGTGTTCATTTTTCAAGCTCAAAAATATTAAATGAACATCACTAAACATTATTGTCATGGAAGAACTTTATTGATTTTTTTCAATAACTATCTTGATGCTAAATCTTAGACATGAGAATTGTGTTGGTTTACCCATGCTAATTTTTAAAAACTGTTTTACATGTGGTTGTTTTAATTAGATAATCTACAATCTGAACTCTTTAAATGTGAGTGCATCCCCCTTTCCCCCACACAAAGAACAGCTAAATCATTTCTATGCACTCATTCTTTGGTTTCTAAGAACATATTAAATTTGCTACTTTAAAAATAAAATATTAAAACTGATAACTAAATCTTAGATTTAATGAACCTCAACAAAACATTTCTGAAAATGTTGACTGGGGTGATACTGTTAAATTAGTATACATACTAAAATTTTGACTACTCATAAAAAGTTAGAATGAATAAAGCTAATACTTATTCACAGAACTATAAGTGATTTTCAGTTACAATATTTAGGGTAATATAAAAGTTGGCTGTGTAAAAGAAATCTTTTTAAACCTATTATCCCAAAAAGTCTTTTGAAAAATTCACACTAAAAACAACAGTAAATTCCTCATCAACTACACAGTTTTTCCTTTATGTATACTGAGAAGAAAATGTTTTTTGTTAAAATAGCAAATTTTCATACTTACTTTTAATGGTTTAATCAGGACCTAAAGGAACTAAAAAAAAATAGGGAAAAATAGTAAAATCTAACAGTCACTATAATTGAAATGTTTATATACTGCTCCAGTGTATGGATTTATTTTTCTTTGGCATTTTACTTCAATACACAAAAAATGGTAGTAATTTAATGTCAAAGTCAGATTTGCTCTAACAAGATTTCACTACCGATAATAAAAACAGCCCTGACATGATATATTTTATAGGAGATATGGTTGAACCATCTCCTTAGAAGTTATTACAAGTAAGATTTTGCATCAATTCACAAAAAGATAAATTAAATTTTACATAACAAAGTTAATACTTTGAGAAACCACTAAAGAAATCAGATTCATTTTTATATACAACAGGCAAACAAATCATATCTAGATGCATTTAATTTCTCCTTAAGCTTCTGATAAATCACAGTATTATAAAACAATGTAATAATTTAGAAGAAAATTTGACTAGACTGGTTATCCCTGTAACTTTTCATAAATGTACATTATTATTATTATTTGTGTTATTTGTATGTGTATGTGGCACTAGGAGTCGAACACAGGCCTCATGCATGCACAAAAGCACTCTGCCACTGAGATGCATCTCTAGTCCTAAATGTACCTCCTGAAATTAAAAATTACTTGTATTTGGATTTACATATTCAAATGCCTGTAATATTGCACTATGAATAGAAAACACCTAGGTTTTAGTGTTTTCTGAAATCATTTAGAAATATATTCTATTCAAAAAACTCAAGAAATCATACAAAATGTCAACTATAATCCAGAATGAAGCTTTTATCACATTTTGTTTGCAATCAATGAAGAATTTTTCTCAAATCTTATAAAGTAAATACTGTAAAGAATAAATCACAAAGTGAGTCTTTATCTGTCTTTTTTAAAGAAAGGCAACAAAAAGGTTACTATAGTTGCCTTGAGCTAAACATATATTCTCTTGTATTTGGAATTAGCCCATGCAATGATTTTAGCACCAACTTTAAAATATGCAAAATACAAACATTGCTGATGGCCTTTACTACATTTTCAAAATGTATATGGCTAACTTAAGCATTTGAAATGTAATTAATAAAAAGTAATGTCTGTTAAGTGTTTTACTATGTACAAGATATTATGCTATGAACACAATTATCTCAGTTAATTCTCAAACAACCCAAGAAAGATACTGATATTTTCTTACAAATGAAGAGAAAGACTAAGATGCCCAAGATCATGGAACCAAGATTTAAAACTCATAGCAGTTCCAGAGCCAGCAGTGTAAGTATTGCCTAGTTTCTAAGGCCAATTATATTTCTAACACCTAAAACATGGCACAAAATAGGCATTCATGAAGTAGGTCTGAATAGAAAATCCCAAAATACAGAATTTCACAATGCAAGAATTCCTAAAATGTTAAGTGACAAACTGCACTTTGGAAAAGCAAATAATATTTTTAATGTCATGTCATGTCATCTAAAGAACATGAGGTGAATCATCCATCTCACAAGACTAAAGAATATTTCAAATTTTTCTATTTGTGAATCTAGATTTTTACATATCAGGTTTGCTAAAAAGAAGGTTAACTTGTTATGACTTGTACAATCCACTGAACTAATACATTATGAGAGAAAATATGGTACAATGAAACTCACATAGATTCTGGAACCAGAGTTGGGTTCAAATTCCACTACTTTCACTAACTTATTTATAGGATCATAAGCAAGATCCTTAACTTTTAAATTTTCAACCTCTGCACAGCAAAACAGGGACAATAGTAATTATTTGATAAGGCTTTTGAAAGGTTTAATTTAAATTCTGAATTTTATGTAAAGTGCTCACCCTTCACAGACTTTCAATAATAGCACTGATTATTGTCTAGTGCAAAGGCACATTCACAGCCATTAAAAATAGGCATAAAAATGCACACTTCATTAATTAGGCTTTCTACTTAAACAGAGAACTTATAACAAATGCATACTTAATTCTGTAATGAAGTACTGTAAGACACAAAAATATTCTTTAAATTACTATAAGCAAACAGATTTCATTTTATTAGTTTAAAAATACATATGAATTTCTTTGGAATTATTTTTTAGCCTCATAGAAAAATCTACAACAAAATAAATATAGCTGCTGTTTTATAAGCAATTTAAAATCAATGGAAGCAATACATGTGATCATGCAATCTTAAAGATACGTCCATCTAATAAATTATGATTAAATACCTTAAATGAAATGGTGTTAGTCATAGTTAAAATTACAGCATTTGAATCATAATTAGTTGTCTTGGTAGTGAAGCAGAGATGTAATATGGACTATCCAAAATAGCATACAACTTAGAAATGATTTGTATCTAGCTTTGACATACATTACCTCTTCTGTACTAGGCTTGTCTTCCTAATCATATTTTGCTTATGTTAATATTAAAATTAATTTGTTTTTGTCAACACCCACCAAGGGAGTAATGTTAAAGGAACACATGCTGGGTGGCGAGAAATATACAAGATAAAATCTAAAATAATTTATAAAGAGGTGACTGTATTCTTATTTTTCTTGACAAAAATACACAATAGCTCAAGAGTTTTTAATCACACAAAAATCACTGCTATGTTACCTTATAAATTGTTTAAATTAATAGTAATTAAAATTTTCTAACAATGCCTAAAATGTATCTAAAGCATTTTGTGTTAAATACTAAAACTATCTTTAAGAAAATATTAAAGAATAAGAATTATAATATACCCCTTTATTACATATATTTAAAAATGTTTTCTATTAAAAAAACATAATAGTTAACCTAAAAGCATGGTTTTTCCAAATCAAGAATTCCAGAGTATTTAGTTACTTAAAACAACTTTTAATAATTGCCTTAAAAAAACTAGTTAAATTTTAAAAATTCCTCTTTGAAGATAGGTTAAGTTTATAAAAGTAATTTTGATACTGTCTTCTAGAATGCTGAATACAAATTTTTCTATATTATTAAAGTGCAAAACTGAGCAAATCTACTGATTTATTCTTAATTGCACCTCACTGATTTTGCCTGCATAACACATGTTTATTAACTTATCTTTTAGGATACTTTAAAAATGTTGAATGAGACTAATTTTTATCTCAATGGTTACTTAAATTTAATAATGTTTCATCATTTAATATGTTTTTTAAAGGGAATGAGAAAATTTGGAATTTACTTTTGGTATCATTATTTGAAAAATTTTTATTTATATTTATTTAAAAAATATTTTAAATAAACACAAATAAAGATACTGTGACACATCTTAACAAAACTATTTTGATTTCTAATTTCTTTTCTGTACCTGCATAGATATTTTACAAGAAATTCCAAAAGAAAGAAAAAATGAAAAACTACATGCAGTTGTGCATGGAAATAATTATTAATAATGGCTAGGAAAGTACTCAAAGCACCAAAAATCTACAAGTCATAGGTGATTCCTTCAGAAGAGATTTAAAAAAATATTTTTAAATTGACAAATAAAAGTTACATATATTTATGGTATAGAACATACTGTTCTGAAATAACTATGCATTGTGGAATGACTAATCATACTAAGAAACATATATATTATCTCACATACTTATATATCAGTGAGAATCTTTCAGAAGCATACACTGTTATTAACTATAATCACCATGTTGTACAATAGGAAAAAATCATACATGATTGATTTGTAAAACAACCAAAACTGAAACCATAATATACATGTCTAATTGTTATAATGCAGCCAAAAAACACCACATTAAGATTCAGTATATAAGAGTCAGGTACTCTGAAAACTGGAAGTAGGATACATTAAAATGTCACTGTTTCCCAGTTATATTTCCTTTTCTTTGTGTCCCAGTGAAAGTTTAGATTATCTGACAATCAGGCAGATTGCACTTAATGAAGGCAAGAAAAAGGAGGCTCAACTATATCTCTTGCTATTACAGAACAAAGCATTACTGGGTATACTGTAAAGTTCATCAATGATGGATACGAAGAAAATAACAAACTTGTGCTTATATAAAATACGTACAAATTTAGACAGTTAACACTGAAATGCTTAAGTGAAGCCAAAGGCTATCAATGCATTAAGTAAAACTGTTCCTAATCTTCATTCTGAATCAACCCAAGACCTTACATTTAACTAAAGGATGTAATAAAAAATTTCAAGCAGAATTACTTTTAACTCACTTTATATTTTAAACTTAACATGTACC